TTAACTTTATGCATTATCTAAACATTTCTGTCCCTTTTCTTAGCAAAACAACTCTACATGCAATCCCATGAAACCAACTCTCCACGCACACCTATGACACCATCCAAAAGGAGAGACTCCACACAATCATAAGGGTTTTTCTTTAACCATCACTTCAACTCTGCACGCAATCCCAATTTAATGCACTCTGTGTTCTTATCATACTTGCACTGCGAGAAAACCATATGTATATAGTGTAATATTTTATCAAAAGAATACGAGAAGAAATGTATATCTTTCTAATTATCATCACAAGATATATGGATAACACACGTGGCAAATACATTATTATATTACTGACATTCAATTCATGTCAAAATTTTTTATCAANATACTTGCACTGCGAGAAAATAATATATGTATATAGTGTAATATTTTATCAAAAGAAKACGAGAAGAAATGTATATCTTAGTTATCATTACAAGACATATATGTGGATAACACACGTGGCAAATACATTATTATATTAACGACATTCAATTCATGTCAAAATTTTTTATCAAGTTTTACGTACACACGGTAATAGAAGATATTAATTTTTTTTCCATTAGCTGACAAGAAAAATTGATGTATTTATTAATTAATACTTTCTTTTGCAAGGAATTTCATTTCATTTCATTACTATTATTATGGAAAAAGAATATGCAGCTGCTATTATTACAAACTAATCTAGACAAAAATATGTAAAGAGGTAAATATTATAATAAGTTATTTTAAAGAGGAAGTAAATATTATAATACTATTCAAATACATTTATTTTGTTATCATATAGTATAAATGATTGGGATTTTATTAACTTTTTAATCAATTAATAAAAATGTATATTAGGAAATTTACACCGACTGGTAAAGAGAATACGTATCGCCATCTAGCAGCGGTACTAGCTATTACTTTATTGTACCGACTGGTAAGATTATGCTGTTATCATCAAATGATGGAAATATTTAATTCACTTACCGACAAGTACAATATGTTTCTTCATCTAGACGAAAGAAAATACATCGCGCTTGGACACAATCAAGATGGCCMCCTGCCATTGTWTACTGCCACGTGCAATAAAGTTAAGTATTTAATTACAAAAAATTCAATAGTGATGCTTTAATTAAGTGAATAATATTGTTTTTATTTACAATAATAATTAAGTGTTCATATTCTATTCTTTTTGTTTAGTGATTAGTGCTCGGCAATTCAGCTTAAGAAGAAAACCATTGGATTTGATGTGTGATATCTTCTGAAGGAAAAAAAACTATTGGACTTGATGTGTGATATCTTGTGAGGAAAAAAAAACCATTGGACTTGACGTTTGATATTTCCTTAATAAGAAATCCATTTAACTTGATGTTAGATATCTGCTTAAGAAGAAAACCATTGGATTTGTGTTTGTGATCTAAAAAAGAAAACTATTGTACTTATTATTATTATTAGTATTATTATTATTATTATGTTAAGTTAAAAGGAATATCATTGTACTTACTATTATTATGTAAATGTAAAAAGAATATTATTGCACTGTACAGGTGGACAGGTCGACAGGAAAAGTATACCATTGC